TAAGTTGATTTTTTTTGGCAGGATACTGGTGCCGGCAGGATAATAGGCCAGACACTGTACATTATGGAAAAGATACCGAGTAAAACCCATTTTTAACTGTATAGAATATATATCATGAAAGTTATTTTCATGAGGATATTTTGGGGAAATCGATCCCCCCACCCCCTCCCCCAACGCATTTTGTAGTTCTGTGTATGCACATTGCTCGACGCTGCTATAATTGTAGCCCGTGCTGTAGGACACAACGATTTGCAAAACCATCTGCTACTTCACGCTGAACCGTTAAGTTATACATGACGAAACCTTCCGTTTTCATCAATAAGAGACCGAGAGGAGTCTGGTAATTAAATAAGAGCATCTTAAGACTGAGAAACAGACAAACATCAAAACTAAGGTGTTACTTGCAATACTCTGAAGGAATTTCCGTTAACAAATGGTAGGAAGTCAAGCCTTGTCAGTCTGTTATTTTCCAGATACCTGAGGAATAACGACATTTGATAAACTAATGTTCCACTTGCATCAAAAACTAGCACAGGTAAAATTGGTCCACTATAAAGTAACAGCATTACTTACAAAAAAGATAATTTTGAATTGTTTTGAAATGATCCTTTTTCAATATAACTGATGGAATTTGATCGCAAATATCTGAAAAAAAAAAAGAATTCACTGGAAAAAACGTTTTGCACATTCCTCGGACATCAAAAATCAAAATACCCCACTCTTCTCCCTCGCAATAGGGAGCTTAAGCATCGACGACGAAACACGCAACGACGACGACCGTAAGTCAGATTGTTACATGTCTAAGGTACTGCGCATGTGCGCACAAGAGCATAGGTCGTTCTGTCATCGTCGACGACGGAATTTCCAATCGAAAAAAAGAACTGGTGTTATTTACCGAGATGTAAGGCCGTTTCCTCTGAAAATGTTTGCAACCGACGGCAGCGAGAAAGCTCATGTGGCAGTTGTTTTGTCTTGTGAATATTAATCATCGTGTAACCTGAGCTCATGCACAGTAGTATGTTAGAGATTGAACCTCGTGTAGCTCTACGCCATGTTGTTGGCTAAATAAATAAGCTGATTCAGAGTTCTAGAGTTGTTTCTTTGAGTTTACGGACACAGCAGCTGTTTACAAGCTTTTTGCCGAAAAGAGACCAGAGAAAATGAAACAAGAAGAATCTCCATTTTGTCTAGCCATAAACAATATCAAAAACACAGAATCTCTACAAAGTAAGCCCTGCTTTAAGTGCAATGCAGTTAGTATAAACAAACTTGGTAGTCTAATGAAGGAAATGGCTGAGAAAAGTGGTTTGAAAAATCCAAAACTTCAGAATCATAGTTCCAAAAAAACAATGCTTCAAATTCTAAGTGACAACGATGTCTCGCCAACACACACCGCTCAATTATCAAGACACAAAAACCTCAAAAGCATCGAGAATTACAGCCATTTTTCTTTTAAACAGCAAATGCGTTTGTCGTCAAATATCCTTGCAAACACAGCTAGTACTAGTACATCTTCAACGACAGCAGAAATGCCAACTAGCAAATCTAGCGAGTTTCCTCCACTACGAACTTCTAGTACTAATGGTCAACAAGCTTTTGCGTCATTTAGTGGAACATTCATTCACGGAGGACCACCACTACCTAAGTTCTATAGAGTGCTGACACTAAACCCTTGAGTGATAATTAGTACGATGAAGTGCTTAGAGAGCATTCACAAAAACTGGTTGGGGGGGGAGGGGGTGGGGGGGAATGATGAGAAAGTGGGGGGTCCCCCCAAAAAATTAAGATATAAAAGGGGGGTACTGGAAGAAAAAGAAAGCTCTGAAGGGGGTACCTGAAATTAAAAAGATAAACCAGGCCACGGAATAACATGTTATATTTCAACAATATCATGAAAACTCAACCTACGAACTCTGATATTTGATATTAAAATATTTCAAAATGATGAATAGCACTCGTTATATCTTCTTTGTATTTAACATACAAAAACAGTTTTAATCTTAACACGTTTCGGCATTCTTATGTCATCATAAGAAAATAATGATTTGAAATTTATGATGATACATGTGATTGTCATGCATGAGGTCTTTATGCAGAGRCATGTTCTATTAGGTGAATTGGACTATATTCGAGATTTATGTGATCCAGCTACAAAATGTGAATATTTCCCAATTACCGAATGGCAAGCACCTATAATGGAGCGTATTCCACGTCATTTCCCGGATAGGCAAGAGAAGGTCATTACTTAGATGTTTTCAGTATGCCAACTACAACTGAAGATGGATCACCTCGAGAAATTTATGACTTCTTACCAAGAAGAGCAAGAGTCAAGAAATGTTTTGCTGCAGGCGACTTACAGTGTTCTGACAAACAAACATTGACAGACCTCAGTAAAGAATTGTGTTCCTGTGTAGGTTTATTACAAGATTCCGTGAAAAACTACGAGAAGCTCAAAATTTTAAGCGAGATGAGGGCTCGTAAGAGAAAGCAAAACGAGGAAGATCGGAAAGCTAAACTGTACGATGACTATGACTGGCCCTATCTCATTAAATCATGAAGATGATGAAGAGTGAATTTGAGGTCTAAAAAATCCAGGTTTGGGGGATAGGGGGTGTCTCAAATTATTAAGTTTATATAGTGGGGGTCCCTGAATTTTTTATAATGGAACAAGGGGGGTCCTGCAAAAATGTTTCACAAAGGATAATTTCTCGTCAGTCCCCCTCCTCCCCCCCCCAACAAGCTTTTGTGAAAGCTCCCTTATTTACGCTAACTCTTTTGGCTTCCATTGTTTATTTAGGTTTATTTAATCTCAAATTAGTACTATTTGTTTCATGCGTTAAGTATAAAAACTCTTCTCAAGAGCTGGTGGGCGAAGATTAAAATAACTAGATGTTAGATTTCCATATAAACAAGTCGGGGTATTTCAAAGAATGTCAGAAACAACATTTTGCAACACTACTCAACATAACAGTTCTACTGAAGACCTGACTGCCACTTTACTGAAGACCTGACTGCACTCACTGAAGCATTATATTATTGCTTTAGGGAGTAAGGAGGCCATAATTAAATTGAATTTGTAGAGGGAACCCGGTTGACCTGCTTGGTTAAAGGCAAATTGCTCGAGAAGTAGTCTAGAGTAGTCTAAGCATAGCAGAATCAAGTTTTTTCCTACCAAAACATTATTGAAATAATTCGAAATTATTAATTTACATGGACTAACATGAAACTGACTGATTACTCGCAAACACAAATGTAAACATAAACACAAATGTACTATGTTTGTTACCATGTTTAGAACTAGAACTGCTTTACCAAATCTCTGTATCATATCCCCGTATCTAAACGGATAAGCCAACCTCCTTGTCGTCATCAATCAGCCCATCAATATAACTAATTACAAGTAGATTTCAAATATCTTTAAACGAATCCATCTTGGTTTGTCGTAGTTGTACAAAGTAGTTTAAAGTGCTACTTGGACGAAAATCGCTCCAAAATCAAAACTCTTTCATTTGAGCTGAAACGTCGCTGAAATAATCTTTGATACATTAATAATCACTCCCTGAAATATCTTTCTGATATTCGAAAGAAAAGTGCCGAAATTTTATGGTTGATTTACGTCCGCCATTAATTTGTTTGTCTCACGGCCAAAGAGTCATTATGTACAGCGGTTTCTGTCTGTGACGTCATACATGCAACCCATTCAAGTTAGCTTTGCTTTCTCCATACATTTCTTGTTCGATTACCTGAAGTTTATTTGATGTTTTAACGCGTTATCGTGAAAAGAATAAACTCAGTAAACCTTTTCTAAGGCTTCGATACCTTTTCAAATGGTGGAAAGTCCTTTGGACGCTTTCTTTGTCAATCCTGAAGAGTTAGAACCAGTTGCTACCAAAGAAGAAGTTATCGTGTATAAGAGAGAAGATGTAGCCGAACTAGAAGAAGAAGTAATAGTTGCGAAGAGGTTTTCATAAGAATTCCTTACTTTCATTCCATGATTTGTATTTGCTACATAGTGTCCATGATATAAAGATCTTAAATTTGAAGTTTCAATATGATCTAACAGCTATTGATGTTATAAAAAAATCCGATTGCGTTGTGATGTGAAGATTTGTTGATAATTACTTAGATCTGTGTGCCGAATAATTTAGAATGTGAGCTTGTAATTCTCCTGACTTGCTACAGAAAATTATTTGCTCCAAAATGTTTATTATGCATTTAATAGGTAAAAACATACGATTATCTAATATCATCTTTGTAAAAAAAAAAAAACATGTCAAAGGTTTCTTATTTATTACTCGCCCGACAGCGGCGTCTGTCACTCAGCTCGTAGATTTTGCTTTTGTGGCTTTTGAGGTTGCTCTTTGCGCTTGTATGTGAATATACCTTGAAAAGTTGTTGTCCTTAAAATGATTCGAATAAATCCCGAATCTCCCTGTCACTTCGCGCAATGGAGCCGCTAGAATAACTCCCATGCATCCTATGAACTTTGTTGTGATTCTTGGCGTGCCTAGATGTATTGAAATTTCCCAATTATGATCGTCAATATTATTGAAACTGAAAAAATTCATTGCCTAGACATTGTTTGGTCATATAGTAGTTAAGGAATCGAATGAAACATTATATATTTTCTGAATAAACCAAATAAACCGAGTTTTACGAACATGGTACATACCTAAGCCACCAATGTTTTGGTTTGGGTTGAATGTATGACGTCATACGTTACTCGTGCCAGTCTTCTTGAGCCGAATTCTTGTAACAAGAAATTAATGGCGGACGAAAATAAATCGTAAAAGTTTGGCCCTTTCCTTTCGAATATCAGAAAGATATTTCAATGAGTGGTTCTTAATGTATTCAAGATTATTTCAGCAAAGTTCCAGCTTGAATGAAAGATTTTTAATGTTGGAGCGATTTTCGTCCAAGTAGTACTTCAACCTTTTAATTATCCCGCATATATAAGTAAAAGATATAATTTCCAATGCAGTATCAGTGATTTTACTTACAGTACTACTAAACTCGGTGAAGTGAACATAAAAGTTCTGACTTCCTTTAGACGGTTTTCAGGCATAGAACTAATAGATAAAGAAGTTTGAAATATAGTCAGTAGAATGGTTTTCACTAACCCATGAGTAATAGTCGGAAAAACACAAATTTACGGATATAATGAACACTCTCTTTGACTGAAAGATGACCACATAACGCTACCTAAATCTAAATAAGTAAGTTATTCCCCGGTCGGGAAACAAGATGCACGTGGCAAGAATGGTAAAAATAAAATGCTGCACGTCATCAGAAACTTGAAAAAAGGGGGTGGCGTGATATTTTGCACCAATTAAAAACAAAGCGGGAGCATGTATATATTTTGATGAATTTTCAATACAAMTGAAGATAGAAGCAAAAATAAAAAATAAAAAAACGCCGAGATTTTTCAGTCTATCTACAGAAAAATACAGACTTCATGGAGAAAGAGGATTCGGAAAATGCGAAAAGAAAGCGGCTAAAAAATGCCCTCCTCGCTTTTTGTTTGTGAAATATCAGAGCGTATGAGAGTAGTATTTGTAAAACCATAGTCAGTTTTTATACATTTAGTATGCTTAATAAAGTTCTTATTTCGTAAACTGACTTCTCAATATTTCTGAATTTCTATATAACATATAGAAATTTATATATTACAATACAATCAATGTCTGTTCCTTCGGGAAATTAGTAAGTTTTGTTTTCCCTCGAGTCTAGATGTTTCGAGACTCTCGGGAAATATCAAAACTGACTATTTCCCTCGTGACCAATGATTAAGTGTATAATAATAACTTAGACAAAAACAATCAGACAAATGATAAAATTAATGAGAAGAAAAAGAAAGGGAGGGAGGGGGGAGGGGGGGAGGGGGAATTTAAAAAAAAATTAAGCACACCTTTGAATAAGTTCGCAAAAAGGCTACGCGGATAAATTAAGGATAGATGTGGATAAAAGATAGATAAATGGATGGGTGGATGAATCGATGGATGGTCGGCCGTATAAAATGATGATTTAGTGGTTATTCGGGTAGATGGATTGATGGATGTATATATATGGGTATATGGATGGACGGATGAATTGATAGCTGGATGAAGGGTGAAATGAAAGATGAATGGATTAACTGGAAACAAATAGAAAAATTGATCAAGAATTCAACAGTTACAAGGTTGATATAAATCGATAGTTAATTCCTTGCTGTAAAGCTGTAATTTTGTTTCTCTCAAGGTACCTGAAAGATTCAAGAATTTGTAATTAAGTTTACCTGAGCTTTCAAAAAGACTACACAACTCAACACAACTCTACACGACACGATATGACAGCATATGACACGACACSACACCACACCACACATAGCAATAGAAAACAACACGAAACCGTACAAGACAAAATTAAAACAAAAGAATTAAGGCATGAACCTAAAATGACACTTACACAGTTCGAATGCGTACTAAATGGAAAAACAGGTGCGTCTCTACTATTTCTAAAAGGTTGTCTTCAAGGCGACTAGGTATATGAAAATATAAAATAAGTGATAGATAAATGTTTCAGTGAATTCTTGACGATAAAATCCAGAAAATTTTAAGTGCTTTTTAAACATCTTTAGATTTTCCAAAGGTCATTAATTTTAAGATGTTATTTGAATGGATGCAAGTTGTTTCTTTACCAACCATTTACTAAAGCTTTTGAAAAAATATTTTAACATTCATATATTTCTTTTTTAATTGGTACTTGTTGGTACTGGCTTTTAGTGGTACTCGCCACCTTATAATACGCGAAACGATGACCGCCTAAAGTAAGCATGGCCATTTGCTTTTGGCATCGAGAATCTCTCCATCACTGTTCACATAGATGTTCAAAAAAATCCCGCTGGGCACGTTGTTAAAGATAATCTGGCTAAAAATGTCACTTGGACCTTCATCTCATACATAAGGAGTGAACTGATGAAGTTACAAAAAGAAGAGACTATGCCAGCTAGCAACATTATTGAGGACTTAATTAACGCATGAGGTATCTTCAACTAAAGAGGATCTAGGGCTGGTAAAAGTCGAGTTAGTGGTTTGGTAGTACAATTTCCTGTTGTCGTATGCCGCAGAGTAACAGAGAAATTGTAATCCACTTCTAGAAATTATAGTAACAAGATCAAGCGAAGCAGTACCCAGAAAGTAGCTGCTGAGACTGGACAGTTTGCAGTTCCTAAATGTATGTTTTTGTACATATGCAGTCTATTTATTAGACCAAGAAAGGAGTAAAGACGCCAATTGCACTTCCAGGCTAGCTTTTTCCGAACGATATTGATATTTGTGTTATATCTGAACTATATATATTCCTAATTTAGCAGGTGTAGTAGATAACCATTTAGGCTAATTTCGGTAAACTCGAAATTATCATAATTTTGTCCGCCGAGTTTGGAGTAAAATTTAATAATTGAAAATAGCTGTGGGGCAAAATATGGCTAAAAATTGAGCATAAAAATAATGCATCGATAATACGTACAGCTGTTTGAGATAGTAGAGAGGCCAAAATGCATTTCGTTCTATTCTTTCGATACGATTTGATGAAAGGTCCCTGTAAAAAAAGGTTAATTATGAAATCAAAGGCAACCCGTTATCAGTTATTTTAAGACCCCAAGTATTGGTCCCGCCTGCACTCCAAACAAGCCTGAACTCCTGCAAAACAGTGGGAGGGAGCAGTAACCTTGTAAAGGTTTACTATCCATAATGTTGTCTGAAATAGTTGTAAATGTGGCAAAATAGGGCTAAAAATTGAGCATAAAAATAATGCGTCAATAATACGTACAGGTGTTCGAGATAATAGAGAGGCCAAAATGCCTTATATGCTATTCTTTCGATACGATTTGATGAAAGGTCCCTGCAAAAAAAGTTAATGATGAAATTCAAAGGCAGCCCGTTATCAGTTATTTTAAGACCCCAAGTATTGGTCACGCCTGCAATCCAAACAAGAACTCCTCGAGGGGGAGGGAGCAGTAACCTTGTAAACGTTTACTATCTATAATGTTGTATGAAATAGTTTCTTCTTCAAATAATCATCATCATAGGTGGAGGGGGTGTTCTTTTCTGACCATTCTCGCATGTAGTCTTTCATTATGGCCATGACTTTTGAAACTCTCTATTATATACAGAAATGGATCTACTTAGCTTGACCGTAATCATTCTTTGTTTGACATGTTTCCATATTCATTTGTATCCTCATTTACGAGAACTAAATAAAAAAATCTCTAGCGAATGATACGTGATCTGAACCATAAACAGCGTTCCACAACTAAACTGATATCTTAACACCAGGAACACACACAGGCTACACAAGTAATGAAATGCATTTGACTTGTTGATATTGTAAAAAAAATAGAACTACTTCCTTACAATTCACGGAGTCGTAATAGCAGCTTGAATCGAAATTCATGAATCACTGTTAGCTTGTTACCTGAAAGTGAGCTATAAAACGAAGATTGTTTATAAAACCATCAGAGCGTTTCTGGTTATGAGAAAGATTCGAGAATATAAGTTATTTGATTTGTTTCTTTCTTTCTTTTTTTTTTTCTTTTGGAAGCATTTTATTTTATTGACATTTCAGCAAACTTTAAAAAAAAATATTGATGAGAGGAAAGGAAAGGAATTAGAAAATTCAAAGTAGTAATGTGATGATAGGAGAGAAAACATCCCTGAATGAATGCCAATGAAAAACAAGGATTTCGAATTATAGTAGGTTTATTTACAGCATGGTTAGGTATTTGAATTGTAAAAACGTCTCATTCCCAATAGATTCCAGCTGACTGTTAGTTATAGCACTATAAAAAAGCAAAGAGGACGGTTATAAGTTTATTTTAAACAGTGTAAACGATTACACCCATTTTCGTCTGAAATCCTCCCCCCCCTGTAGTGCTTGTAAGTTGGGCTCCCTTTGGAGCGAAAGTGATGGAGTAAAGATGGCGGCTGTTATCACATGTTGTTGACTCTGTGTCGTTTCTCGCTGAATCTGCTGCGCCTAGCTGCCATCGGACGCTACATTGGTGACGAGGATGAAGAATATACAAAGCTTAATCACCTAAAACTATTTTTTTCTACGCAACGATGGCCGAAAGTAGAAAAAATTCAATCGGAAAATTCGACCGCTACAACGACCCCAACACTCTTGGTAAAAGATGGAAACGATGGCTGATGTCATTTGAGTTATTCGCAGACGGGAAAGGACTCATCATTCAAGAGGACAAGGATGACAACAAACAACGCCGAAGAGCTCTCCTCCTCCACTTGGCCGGTCCTGATGTCCAAGATGTTTTTCTAACATTACCAGACACTGGTGGAGCGCAGCTTTTCGTAGCCTCGTAGCAAATTGTTGAATGGTTTCTTGTGGATTTTGTTTCATTTGGCGAAATGAGTGTCGAGCATACCAAGATTGTGATTACGGTACTGACATGGAGAACCAAATTAGGGATGAAATCCTGTGTAAGTGCAACTCAAGTCATATTAGACGGAAACTACTCGAAGAAGGACAAGGGCTGACCCTGAAACGAACCCTGGCAATTGCAGAACAATGCGAGAAGGTTGAATCCCAAATGACCGCTCTGTCGAGTGCAGAGGAAGGTGAACTGTCAAGTGTTAACAGAATAGTTGGCAAAAGGAACGAATCTGTGGAACCTCAAAGGCAGGGCCGAGGAAGGCAAGCTGGAGACCAACAAGGACGTGGAACTGCAAAGTGTTATAGATGTGGATGTAGTGGGCATTATGGACGTGACTCTAACTGCCCACCTCGTGGTAAAACATGCAACAAATGCCAAGGCAAGGATCATTTTGCTGCAGTATGCAAGACAAGGAGTAGGGCATACCAAGTCGAAGAGGAACCACCAGCAAACATGAATTACGTACAGGAATTGAAGCCAGCAGACCGTGAGTATGCATTTCATGTAAGTGATGGGGATAATTCCAACATGATGAACATCCTCATTGGGGGTGTTAGCTTGAAAGTTATAGTAGACTCTGGAGCAAGTAGCAACATCATTAGTGAAAATACCTGGGAAGACCTGAAGCGTAAGAACATTGACTGCAAAACAAGCTTGGCCCCCAATGGGAAACAGCTGTATGCCTATGGATCAAGAGCACCCCTGACAGTGAAGGGTAGTTTCACATGTGTGGTAAATGCCGGGGGGCAGACATCCCAGACAGAGTTCTTAGTCGTCAAAGGGGAGGGTGCTTCCCTGCTAGGATATGAAACGTCCACAGCCTTGGGTGTACTCAAAATTGGAACACACATTTCCACAGTCTCCAGCTACGCGCAGTCCATACAAGCACGTTACCCTGATGTTTTCAAGGGGGTGGGGAAGTTAGAGACAAGACAGGTCACACTACACATCGATGATAATGTTAAGCCAGTTGCACAACCCCTTAGACGAACGCCCTTCAATTTAAGGAGAAAGGTAGAAGAGAAAATCAAAGAGCTGGTAGATATGGACATTATCGAACCGGTGGATGGCCCCACCCCATGGGTAAACCCAGTGGTTATTGTACCAAAAAGCAAGGGAGAGATAAGACTGTGTTTGGACATGAGGTGTGCCAATCAAGCTATCGTTCGAGAAAGACACCCCATCCCCATTGTGGATGAAGTCCTGCAGGGCATGAACGGCTCTAAGATATTCTCCAAACTGGATTTGAAATGGGCTACCACCAACTCGAGCTGAGCCCTGAGTCGCGCGGGATAACTACCTTTGCAACCCATGCCGGGTTATACAGATATAAGTGCCTCCTGTTCGGAGTGTGTTCCGCAAGCAAGCAATACCAACATGAAATATCAACTGTAATAGCCGGGATGGAGGGGGCTGGTAAYATCTCAGACGACATTGTTGTACATGCTCACAACCAGGGCGAGCATGACCAACGTTTAAATGCTGTGCTACAGAGGTTGGACCAAAGTGGCCTGACGTTGAATCCTGACAAGTGTGCCTATAACATGGATCGAATAGTGKTTATGGGCATGCTGCTATCTGAAAAGGGTATTGGCCCAACTGAGGAGAGAGTGAGAGCTGTTACAAATGCAAGAGAGCCAACCAAAGCTACCGAAGTGAGAAGTTTTCTCGGCCTTGTGAAAAAGCAACGACACCCTTGAAGAACCTACACGAAAAACTGAGCCAGATCTCCCAAAGGTAGAGACGCCAAGCAAGGTCGCGRGTAGCGGAAGCTTTGACCCAACACAAGCATCACGACCACAACGCAAGAGGCGGCTACCAGCAAGGTTTAAAGACTTTGTCATGACTCTTAAGAGGGCGTCTCTGTAACAG